AACCGCATGTGTTCATACATTTCTACACATGTACATGCGAACATAATCAGCAATCATAATTCTCTCTAATTGTGGATGACTCATACCAGCCCGTTTAATGATCGTTGCGACTGCGCAGCACTTCCAAAAATAGTTTGACAGCTTTAAGTATTTTTTTTTTTCTTTATTTTTTCTCTAATTATCGGCGTCTTTCGTGCTTGACATTTGATACAAGCGTTTTTGTGCTTGGCTTTGTTAACATTCCGTAACTATTCACATCAATGAGTTCCGGCCATTAGGTTTTTTCTATTGAACTTGAATAAGTTTCTAAAAACAAGATGTTCCTTGTTCTTGAGGGGTTTAGAAAGTCTCTAAAAATATTGTTGTATGCCAAGGTTTTACAAGGGTCGTTGACGCAGGTTGTAGATTTCTATTTCAATATATAGCCAAACAAGTTCAAAAGTATCAGTCGGTTGTGCCGACAAAGTCAATGTTCGATTTTTTAAATATATTTTCATTTCTGTTACAATTATTCAAATTGAGAACCCTCTATGGAGTAGGTTCTGAAGGAGTGGACCAATGGACCGTGGAGGCTTGGATTATATTGGTTATTTATGTGATAATTTTAAGAAAATTTTAAAATGTACGTAAGATACCAGATATAGCCGACCGAGGTATAACATTTTTATACTTCATCTTATACAGATAAAACCAGTAAAGAAAGTCTTAAAGTCGGGCGGGGCTTGACTTTATGATACCCTACACCACTTTGCTAATTTAGTAGAGCTGCGCATAACAATTAAAAGTTGTTATGGGAAAATTCAATCATACACATTATGATTATAATTATAATTTAAAGTTCAAAGAACTAAATATGCCGAAGCATTTGTATCTTTTAAATTAGGACTTGTATTGCCCATTTGGTGCAAAATTAATTTGAAATCAGATAAAGATATATATGGGAGCTATATCCAAATCTGAACCGATCTCGTTAAAATTTGGCAAAGATATTTCTGAGCTGTATTTGATATATTTTCCTGAATATCGTTGTTACGGAGTGCATATTACGGCTGTGGGTAACAAATATGACAAATCGGATGAACAGTATATATGGAAGCTATAGCTATATCTGAACCGATCTTCACCAAATTTGACATACTAGCTTCTAGACTCAATTCGGTCGTAAGTGCCAAATTTCATCCAATTTGGGCAAATATTAGACGTTTGGTGCACAATCAAAGGTAAATCGGACGAAGTTATATATGGGAGCTATATCCAAATCTGAACCGATCTCGATCAAATTTAGCAAATGTATTTCTGAGCTGTATTTGATATATTTCCCCAAATATTATTGTTACAGGGTGCATATCACGGCTGCGGAGGACAAAAATAGCAAATCGGATGAACAATATATATGGGAGCTATAGCTATATCTGAACCGATTTCAATCAAATTTGACGTACAATATTTCAATCTATATTCCAATCTGATCGTACGTGCAAAATTCCATACAATTCGGACTGATATTACACATTTGGTGCACAATACAAGGCAAATCGGACGAATATATATATGGGAGCTATGTCTAAATTTCGACCGATTATCTCCAATTTCAATAGGGTTCGTCCTTGGGCCAAACAAATGATTTGTGCAAAATTTCATCTGGATAGAGCATTAAATGCGAACTGTACTTTGTTTACAAAAATACATGGACAGACGGACAGACGGACGGACGGACATGCATAAATCGACTCAGAATGTGATTCTATGCAGATCATCAAAAGGAACTATGGGTCTATCTCGCTTCCTTTTGCCTGTTACAAACAAATGCACAAAGACATAATACCCTGACCACCTTGTCCTTTATGGGTGAGATACCAGAAGTGGTTCGCAGATATAAATCATCTTCACAGCAGATTTTGTGTTCGCAAAAATGTTTGAGTGTGTACAATTTGAAAAGAGTGAGATGAAAGCGAAATTTCTTTGAGGTTTTTGTTTTTCAAAATCTTTAACCCAATGTGGGATAGGTACCAGAAGAAATGGCGCGATTTCTACCATCTTAACAAAATATCTTGTGTTGATGAAAATATTAAGATGTACCAAGTCTGGAATGTAATTGGATGTTAATTTCGAGTTTTATGAGCTTCATGGATATTCAAAATTTTGACTCTTTGTGGGGGAGGTACTAGAAGGAGTGGACCGATATATTCCATCTCTACCGCAGACCTTGGGTTAAAAAAAATAATGTGATGCGTGTAATTTTGGTATTTGTGGCGGAGGTACTGGATGGAGTGGGCCGGAATTGTCCATTTTCGCACCTGACCTAGCAATGATGGAAATATTAGGATTTGGAAAGTTTGCACAAAATGGAATGATCCTTTCTCTCTCTATGAGATAAATTATTGTCTTTACCTTTTGTGGAGGAGGTACCATAAAGCTTAGACCGATGTTACACGTCTCTGAACTCAATCTAAGTTTGACAATATATTAAGACGTATCAAGTATGGATCAAAGCGGATACTTGAGAGTTATCTTGCGCAACAGCTAGCCGGTCGGACACCTCTAGATCGACTCCAAATGCCCTGGATTTGGCCCAAAGAGACTTAGGGTCTAAAACTGTTATTTTGATGATGCAGGTTTTGGTCTTATCAAATAATATATACTCTCTGTAGCCATATGGCAGAGGGTATAAATACAATATACCTTTTGCTGGCCTCCTGTAGATTAAATCTCTTTATTGATTTACCAGATCAACCTAAAATTCGACGTATTGTACAAAAAACTGTGTGTGGTGGTAATTTCTATTAAAAACCACACTCGGCTGATTTACAACCTCCTAGTTAGCTGTTTTGATTTTAAATCAAAGGAAATTTTTAGAATGTAGATGGCTAGGCTTGATTCCTGTGAAGCCATGGTGGATATAGACCAACCTTTTTCAATTTAGTTATGCAAAGTTTCGTGGTGGTCATTTGGTGGATACTATTATTAATAACTAAAAAGCAGTAAGTTCGTCTGGGCCGAACTTTGAATACCCTCCACCATTTGGAACGAATTTGGCACTTTTCAAAAAAATAAAATCCGTTAAAAATTCTGTTAAAATCTTAAAAATATCGAATATAGCCGTTATATTAGGGTCTATACGACGACGTGGGCCTGCATAGGCAACTTTTGTCATAAGCTACTGCAATATTCAAATGCGAAACTTGAAAAATATATGTTTATAATGAAGCTAAAATTATCAGAATACTGAATATAGGGAGGTACCATGGAGTTATAAAACGTGGACCTGCATAGACTATTTTCCGGCATAGGCTGTAGTATCCGTTACGAACTTTAAATACAAAATTTGAAATAATTCCGGCGAATAATGCGCTAAAATAATCAAACTACCGAATATCGGGAGTTACCGTTATATGGGCGCTATTCAGGGACGTGGACCTGCATAGACAACTTTTGGCATAAGCCATTATAATATTCATATTCGAAACATGAAAAAAAAATCGGTGAAATTTTTAACTAAATTATCAAAATACCGAATATAGGTAGTTATCGTTATATGGGGGCTATCCGAAGTCCTGTACCTGCTTAGACAGTTTTCTGTCACAGACTTTAGTAGGAAGTACGAAGTGCAATTACGAAATTGTAAACCATTCCGGTGCCTAATGTCGCATAAACATCAAAATACCGAATATAGAGAGATATCGTTATATGGTGGCTATGAAGACCTACTAAGACCTGCACCTGAATAGGCAATTTTCTGTCACAGGCTGTAGTACCTATTACGGACTTTACCTATGAATTTTGAAACCATTCCGGTGAATAATGTCGCTGAAATTAGCAAAATACCATATACTGGGAAACACCGTTATATGGGGGCTATACGAAGACCTGTTGAGACCTGGACCTGCATAGGCAATTTTCTATCACAGGCTGTAGTACCTATTACGAACTTTAAATACGAAATTTCAAACAATTTCGGTGAATAATGTCGCTAAAATTATAAAAATACATAATATAGGGACTTTACCTAAACGTGGACCTATATGGCAAATTTTCAATACTAAAAGTCCTGCAGACCAAATACACATTTGAGTAAACTTCTATTATCCTACTTCAATTCGTTGGGAAGCTAGGATGATTTCCACAGACAGGCGGACAGACAGACTGGCGAACATTGCTAAATCGATATAGAATTTAATTCTGATCCAGAAAATATATGCTTTGTGGGGTCTAAAATGTATATTTCGAGGTGTTACAAACGCAATGACAACCATGCTATGGTGGAGGGTATAAAAATAAAATAAAAATATTTAATATTTATTAATAAAAAATATATTTAATATTTATTTTAATAAAATAAATAATATTTTAAGAATATTTAATTTGAAATGGCATGTATTTAAAAGAAAAAGAGATTTTAAAAAGTATCCAAAGATGGGAGTGTGTTTGTCTTATTTTATAGCTATTTGCAAAATTTAAGTGTTCTCAAAATTCTATTGATTTTGAGGTCCAAATATTCTGCTCTAATGATTCATACCACCTTTAACTTATCACGAAATTTTATTTAATAGTTCAGGGAGCTCTTTGTTCCAGTTTTCTAATTGTATAACGGGTTCTAAGAAAATATTTACGAAAACTAAATATTTTCTTAACACTCAATAACTAAAAAATCGTAAACAAATTTAAAATTTAGGTTCATTCACAACACACACACACACGATGTGACACTTAAACACAGCGAATAACCCATTGAATTTCTCACGTTTATTAAATTTGTTTTCAATATTTTTTTCGTTTTTTTTATTTTTTTGTTACGTTGTCAACAAAATTTTTCAAAGATGATTGTTTCTAGTAAGTGGGTTTTCAAAATTGGAATTTTACATGCCATCACATATTCCAAAGATGATGATAGATGTTTTGTTATTTTGAAAGAAGAAAAACAACGATTAAATAAATTTGCAGCTATTCAAATGGTTTTCTCTTTGGAGATTCTAGCGAATAGAGATTATAATCATTCATACCTATTTAATTTAAATGCCGGTTTGTCTGCAGAATGAGTTTTTGATTTTTTTCAAATTGGATTTGGCCGCTGGTGTTTCTCTGCTCTGCTCTGTTGCTGTTTGTTTTCGCAAAACAATATAAAAATCTTAAGAAGAAGTTCGTGGTGTTTTCAACTTTTTTTTCGTGAATTAAAAAATTAAAAAAAAAGACAAGACAATACAGCACAGCAAAAAATTAAAAAGGTTTTCAACCACAATCAAGGTTCACCAAATGGCTTTAAATCGATGGCAAAGATGAATCCGGTTGTAACCGCTTTTGTTGGATGATGGTATGTTGGATGTTTGTTTTTTTTTTTTTCTTTTTGTTTTGAGTTTTGTTTTAAATTTAAACCAAAAGTTAACAAAAGGTTCGAGGCTTCACAATAACATTAACTGATTTTTTGTTTTCTGCAACTTTTTGGTGATTTTTTGCTTATTTTGGTTAATTAATTTTTGTTTTGGCTAATATGTTTAAAAGATATTTTAAAACAATTGGTTGTATAACAGGTGTGCGTATGTCACTTTTTTTCTTATTCCAGTTAATACTGCTTTTGTAAACAATTAATTAACAATTAATTAAGAAAAACAACGATTTTTTCTGTAGCTATTCTTTCTCTCTTTGTTTGTTTAGAATTTAATTAAAACAACAAACAATTTTTACATTTGAAAGTTGATTTCCGTTTGTTTCCGTTTCATTTTCTTCCGTATCACTTGCGTTTTTTTTTTTGGTTTGCTTTTCTTTCACTGGTTCTCTTTTCATTTATTTTATATATATATTTTTTTTTATTATTTCTTTTGTTCAGCTTTAGTTTCGTTTCAAAACGATCGACGACGACGATCACAGGTACGAGTTCAAATCATAACTAAGCTCCAATTGTGGATACCACCTACCTTTATTATAGTAGCGCTAGCCCAGCATTTTCATACCTCGTGTGAGTGTGTGTGCATGTATTTTTGTTTGCCAGTGTGTGTGAGTATCCCCATCATCGTCATCATTGCCAGTGCCAGTAGAAAAGAAACCCTGAAGTGAGCAAGAGCTAACCTGTGGCATGGATACCAATGGAAGTGCCGACGAAGGTTTGAGTATGTCTGTGGGTATTTTTTACTTGTTTCATTTTTATAGCTGGAGAGCCCTCTAGGTTGTCGTTGTATAGACGAGATATTTCTATGTTCTTTTGTTCTATGGTTGCCAATGTGACATGAATTTAAATAGGTCAGGGCAAAACAAACATTTTTCTAAATTTTCTTTATTCGGGAAATTATTTTTTTAGATTATATATAATTTAATACGGCCAAAATGTGCCGCATCGAAATAAAGGGATTAGACCCTATATCTCTTTGGAGGAGAAAAGTCTCAGGATATTTGGAATTGATGCTGCCAGGGTCGTCAGTTTGGCAGGACGACTGGGTCTCCAATAAAGTATTAGATTGATAAATCGTAATATATTGATGAAACATGGAACGAGTTCGGAAATGGACTATTTCAGAAATATTCGGTTTCCCGGTTATTCGAACCGAAAGTTCGGATACAAAATCCCGGTTTTATCCGGTTCTACAAAACTGACATGTAAATAGGTATCACATGAAAGCTTTCGGAAATACCTATCCCAGAAGTGATCATATGTGGTTGTACCGAAACTTTTTGAAAAACCCCATAATGGACTCATTATGGGGTATTATGATCTACATACTACATAACAGTCTATACACTTGCCTATCAAAATGATGCCGAATGTGCTAACATCTCTTGTACTTCAGAAGCTATTGGCGATACAAATAATTTAATTGAGATTTTCTCCATTAATATGTATCTATCCTTTAAGTAGACATCCTTCGGCCGGGTTTTGAGTTTCTCTTCTGGGGCTGTTTAAGATTTCCCTATGGGGTATTTCCAACTCCAGCTACGCGATTCATATTTTTTCTAAACTTTAGAACTTTTGTAAGTACCTGTGATAAAAATTTCAAGTCAATCCGAGTATAGCCCTAAATTCAACTTAAGCCTTGTTAAATTGTTGAAAAATTCAAACAAATAAATAAATAATGCGAATCCCTATCATGACAATACTCTACATGGCCGAATTTTTGAATAAAAATTATTTTCATATAGAAAATATTTAGTGGCATATTTTGCAGAAATAAAACCTAATCTCTTATTTTTGACGCTTTCCGAAAATTTACCAAAGAAGACAAATTTTATTAACCTCTTGGGCATAATCATATATAAATAGAGATTTTTATATCCTTTATATTGGAAAAAATCCAAAAAGTCGACGATGCCTCTTATATAGATTCTTTACCAAAACGAAAACTTACGCTGGCAAATTGCCTTTAATGAAACTATTGCAAATGTGACTGAAAATGTGGGATGACAATCTTTGTCGATCTTCATACTTGTCCTAGCAGCAGTAAAGTGACACTTTGAAGCAAAATTCAACTATTCTATAATTATGTCTCACTGTTTCTGGTTTTAATGATATTCTTCCTTGATAGTGATTATAAAAGATGTCTGAGGAAGTACCAAGAAATATTAACTAGACAATGAAGGGACGTAAAATAAAACAAGTAAAAAAGCTGTAAGTTCGGCCGGTCGAACTTTGAATACCCTCCACCATTTGGAACGAATTTGGCAGTTCTCAAAAACAATAAAATCCGTTAAAAGATCTGTTAAAATCTTAGAAATACCGAATGTAGCTGTTATATTAGGGTCAATACGACGACACGGACCTCATAGGTAACTTTTGTCATAAGCCATTACAATATTCAAATGCTATACTTAGAAAAAAAAATCGGTGAATAATGTAACTAAAGTCATCAAAATACCGAATATAAGGAGGTACCATTATATGGGGGCTATACGAAGACGTGGACCTGCACAGACAATTTTCTGTCTTGGGCTGTAGTATCCATTACGAACTTCTAATACGAAATTTGAAACAATTCTGGTGAATGATTTTGCTAAAATCATCAAAATACCGAATATCGGGAGGTACCGTTATATGGGGGCTATAACAGAACATGGCCGATTTTGAATACCAAAAGTCCTGCAGACATAATATGCATTTGAGTAAAATTTTATCAATCAACTTCAATTTGATCGGAAGCTAGAGTGATTTCCACAGACGGATAGACATCGCTATATCGACATAGAATGCTGATCAAGAATTTATATATTTTGTAGGGTCTAAAATGTATATTTCGAGGTGTTTCAAACGGAACGGAAAACTTAATATACTCTCCATACTATGGTGGAGGGTATAAAAATAAATAAGCAAATACAATACTACAATATGTTGGAAGCCCCCTTATGCCCAAATCCATTTTGAAAGATTTCTGAAATAATGTCATAGAGCCCTGCCCAGATGTTACCCTTAGGTTTTTGGCCGGGAGTATTAGCGACTGCAAAATCAGGAAAATGTTTAATTGTTTGGCTCGTTTGACCCCTAAATGTACGTTTTCAAAAACAATGGGCTTTAAATCTGCTCCTAACCCTACCCCATGCAAAATGTCATGAAGATCAGATTATAATTGCGACTTGTATATAATACCCTCAACACATAGTGTTGCGGGGTGTAGATAAACTTTACAAAATATGCAATTGAAAATTGTAAGTCAAATTGAAAAAATCGCATGCGATAAAAAAATGAAAACATTGAAAAAAATATTCACTTTTTAATTGGCATATTTTTTTCACGATACTTCATCAATTTATTTCTCCTTTGATTCTTTTCCGGCAAGAGACCATTCCGAATTGATGCGGATTGTGAAGATAAGTCCAGGGGCTCTTGACTTATAAGCGGAATAACTAAGATATATTTCTTTTACATGTATATTGTACCTATTTTGATATATAACCGATTTTTTGGCTATCAGCATCACTGTAATGGACAGAAGTGACCTTTTAATGTATTTGTGATTTGGCCGGGATTTAAAATATTTGCGGTTTAATGGAAATTTACATATATTTTGTTCTTTTGACATAAAAGTTATACTTTATTTTACTCGCAAAATATTGTCCGATGACCGTCCAAAATCTGCCTAGCCTAAACTCTAACTCCATGCATGCGTCGATTCGTTTATAAATGTGGCCTGTATCAGGAAATTTTTATGTTCTTGGCCCATTTCAACCCACCAAAAATATAGACTTCTATTCTGACTTCTATTCTGACCCTACCCCCACTTCCATCATCAATTTCGTTCGATTCGGGCCATAATTGTGACCTGTAGCGTGATTACAAATTAACACGGACATACATAGCTAGATCGACTCAGCACGGCGTTATTCGAAGGTCCATATTCCTATGTCGGGACCAATATTTCGAGGTTTTACATAATGTTAGGCGCAATCAAACTTATAATACTCCCTACACATAGTGTTGTAGGGTTAAACATTTATCAATTATAAATAATTTCATTATAAATATGGTACAGTTCTTGTATAAAAATGCCCCCTGATTTTAGTTATTGCGATGTTCTTGGCAATTAATTAATAAATGTCACTCAGAAGTTGGTAAGTTCATCCGGATCGGACTTTAAATACACTCCACCATTTACACTTACAAATATGTGCCGAAGTCTAGCATTATAGAAGCATTTGTACCATATTACAAAATTCTGCCTAAAAATGTAACCAAACTCGTCAAATAACAAGTATAAAGTAGTATCGTTATATCAAGGCGATATCAAAACCCGGAATCATATAGATAATTTTTGAAACCATCGAAATACCTAGTTTCGGGAGGTTGTGTCATATGTATAATATTTCAAAAGACAGAAAAGATCATGTAAACTATAAATTTTGTGGGATTTGTCTCTTTCTGACCATTCATTTTAATACTTTAAATTTAATTTTTACGGTATATAATTCATGTCAAATGATGGTATTGCCAATAACAAAAAACGTAGGGTGGTTGAACAGTCTTACCTACAAATAGTGACCTTAAATCATGAATGGCAATACTAACGATAATATTTCCGTAGATATGGTCGATAAGACCGTTCCCAGTGATTACTTTAGTATTGAAACAAAGTTGGCATTAGTATTGTTCCACCTTAACAACAGGTAGCGCTAACAGTTCCATAATTTTGCTTAATATTAAAATTAATATCGCTTTTAACCAAAAAACTTTTAGACGCATTATTTAATTTATTTCCCATTCTTTCATTGTATTTGATTTTTTATTCTCATGTTTTTTTTAAAAGCGGCATACATTTCGAATGTTCTTGTTTAAGTACGTATTGTATAGATGTCTCTATGTTATCGTGAAAATCTTGTTGTGTCCGGCCGAATTTGATTGCAATTATCAGACATATAAAAGTGCATTGATTGAAAAATAGATGGCGCTTTCTTAACGTGTTTGATAAAAATTTCTTAAATTTTCACCGGAATTGGAAGATACACTTATTAACCAATGATTTTTTAGTATACTGTCCATTATAGGCTAGAGGAAATATTTATTTATTTGGCAAAATCTCGAAATACTCATAAAGAATCCCAAAAAAATCCTGTGTTTAAGGATGATTGACATTGAAAATGGTTCGACCTATGCTTAGGTCAAAATTTTGGCACAAAACTGTTGTAATTTTATATTTTGGATGCATTTTTTGAAGGCAGAATGTATAGAAGAGTTTTAAGACGAATAATTTTGTGAAATATTTTGATATTTTTATACCCTCCACCATTCTATGGAGGGTATATTAACTTTGTCATTCCGTTTGTAACTCCTCGAAATATTTATAATAGACCCTACAATGTATATATATTCTGGATCAGCGTAAAATTCTAAGACGATCTTGCGATATCTGTCTGTCTGTTGTAATCAGGCTATCTTTCGAACATAGTAACCTACATTGTCATGTTAACTTTCAAAACGCATTCTATTTTTCTTCTATTCTAGTTTGTAATGGATCTTCATATATTCGGTATTTTAGTCAGATTTTCTTTTGATTTCGATTAAAAGTTTGTTCATAATAGTTTACACAACCGATGACAGAGTTTTGTATATATTTGTCGCAATTCGGAATTAGATTTTCATATTATTTCAAATTTGAAATATTGGGAAAATCTAATTCCGAATATCGAGCGGTACCGTAAACCAGTAAGGAAATGTCAAAAGTTAGGTGGGTCCCGTGACAAAAAAAGTTTATATTGGATATTTATGTGAAGTAGATCATACCATGCATGATATGGCTTCAATAAGGATTGTATAAAAAAATTTTTATTGGAGCAATAGATATACCGGACCGAGTTTCGCCAAATGGTAAAATTTTGTTGAATATGAAAAAATCTATTCAATTTGGGCTGATATGACATATATGATGAGCAATTACCGTAAAATCGGACGAAGATATATATCGAAGCTATATAAAAATCTGAGCCGATCTCGATAAAATAATGCAGAGGTATTTTCGAGTAGTATCTGATGCTCAGTATCAAATATCATTGTTGTGGAGTGTATATTACGCATGTGAGGAACTTTAACGCCAAATCGGATGAAACATAAATATGGGAGCTATAGCTATATCTAAACCGATTTTCACCAACATTTAAAGCACTTGCTTTTAGTATCAATTCCATCGGATGTGCCAAAATTCAGTCCATTTGGACTAATATTAGCCATTTGGTGCACAAAAAACCGGAAAACATATGTATGCGGTTGAATATATGTATGTAGGAGATATATCCATATCAGAACCGATCTTGCCCAATTTTATACTCTAATTTCTGAGCTGTATTTGTTTTCTGATATCAAAGATTGTTGTTGTGGTGTGCATATTACGTATGTGAGGGAATTTAACACCAAATCGGATGAAACATATATATGGGAGCTATAGCTATATCTAAATCGATTTTCACCAAATTTGAAGTATTTGTTTTTAGGATAAATTCAGTTGAAATTACCAAAATTCAGTCGATTTGCGCTGATATTAACCATTCGGTGCACAAAAAACCTGATATCGGATAAAGATATAAGACTTAGCAAAAATATTTTTGAGCTCAATGAGTTGTCTGGTACCAAATATCATTCTTGTGGAGTGATACGCATGTAAGGGACTTAAACCCCCAAATCGGATATATATGGGAGATATCTGAACCGATTTTCAGCAAATTTTATGTACTTGCTTCTATACTGAATTCGGTCAGATGCGCCAAAATTCAATCCATTTGGGCTGGTATTGGCCATTTTGTGCACAATTAACCCGAAATCGGTTGACGATGTATATGGGAGCTATATCTAAATTTGAACCGATTTTCACCCATTCCAATAGGGTTCGTCCTTGGGCCAAACAAATATTGCTTGGAAAATTTCATCACAATCTGATAATAAATGCGACCTGCATTTTGTTCACAAAAATACATGGACGGTCAGACGGACTGACATGCATAAATAGACTCAGAAAGTGATTCTATGAAGATCCTCAAAAGTAACTATGGGTCTATCTCGGATTCTTCTCCATGTTACAAAGAAATGCACAAAGACATAATAACAATCAGATGAAATTGTTATACGAAGGCTATATCTAAATGATTTATTTAATTTTCAATACCAAATATCACCGACGTTATATGAATACATATGCAATATTTTAAAGGCCTGTCTATAATAAGGCGAACTCTATTGTGATTAAAACTTAGTGAAATGGCCCTATCGACATAGCATTTTTCACTGACCCTGACTACATATACCTTATGGTGTCTTAGATGAATATTTTGAGATGTTCCAAATAGAAGAGCAAATTTCATATCCTCTTCCTTTTATAGTGAAGGGTAGAAAAATCAAGCGGTCTTTATACCCTACAACACTATGTGTTGGAGGTATTATAAGTTTGATTGGGCCAAAAATTATGTAACACCTCGAAATATTGGTTTCCCACATAGGAAAGTATATATGGATCTTCCTAGCTCGCCGAGCTGAGTCGATCTAGCTATGTATGTCCGTCCGTCCGTCTGTCAGTCTGTCCGTCTGTCCATGTTAATTTGTAATCACTCTACAGGTCGTAATTATGGACCGATCTTCACGAAATTTAGAATGTAGGCGGGGCTTGGACCAGAATAGAACCCTATTGCTTTTGGACATGATCGCCAAATGTTTAGGGGTTGAAATGGACCAAATACTGAAAATATGTCGAATTTTGCAGTAGCTATACAGGTCGCAATTATAGACCAATCGACGCGAAATTTCGCATGTAGATAGAGTTTAGGGCGGGGAAGAAACCTACCTATTTGGGTGGTCATCGGATAATATTTAGCGGGTAAAATAGACCATATCTTTTGTGTTGAAAAGAAATCAAAATTTTTCATTAAACCGTGAATATTTTAAATCCCGGCGAAATCACAAAGCCATTACAAGGTTATTTCTGACCTTTACATTGATGTTATTATCCAACAAATCGGATATATAGCAAAATATGTGCGATAATATGTCTATCAAAGAAGATATGCTTGAAAGATCTCTTATATGTCGAGAACGGCTGAACTGATTTCGACAGTTCTCATTTATTTAGAATGGCCTCTTGGCAGGAAAGAAAAACCGTCTAAAAAAATCGCATAAAAATATCTCTCTAAAGATGGAAATATTGATTTTGTAAAATTTTCTCATATTTTTTCAATTTTGTCATATTTTTGGCATATTTTCATTTCGAATTAAACATTTGGTAATATTTCTACAGCTAACAAAACTAAGTAGTTAGGATATCAGGATATCATATACAGATCTCATTTATGGCTCGATCCTTACGAAATTTTGTATGGGGATAAGATGAGGGTCAGAATATAAGCCTACTCTTTTTGGAGATGATCGCCACATATTTAGGGGTTGAAATGGACCAAAAAACTGCAAAATTGTCGGCAGGTCGTAATTATCGCCCGATCATCACGCACATTTGAATGGGGGTTACCGCACATTGCAAAAGCCATGCAGTTTCGGATGGCCATCCAAAAATATTTAATGTGTGAAATAGTTTGCCAACTTTTGTAGACAAAACACGAAAATGTCCATTCCAGTGACTTTTTGGAGAATTCACAAATACAGGAAAGACGCACTTCCGACTATTTCGTTAACGCTGATTTCGTTGAAGAATATAGTCAAATGTCTGTATCTCATATAGATGCGTTTCAGTCAAAAACCAATAATAAATGTTAATCTTTTGGGAAATATTGGTTCCAGATCTAGGAAGACCATTTACGTGCAACATCTACCAATAAATTGGAAATGAGCAAATTAGTTTAAGTTGTTATTATTCGAAAATTAGAGAACGAAACCTGATGGTTTTCTTTTATAATTTGTCACAATATCTTGTGGAATTCTGTCGAGTATTTCGCCTATATAAACTGTATGGTTTATTATAGTGTTGTAGGGTATTCAACTGTCGGCCCCGCTCGACTGTAGCCTTTGCTTACTTGTTTTTAGAATACTGAAGTAGTACTAAATTTGAATTATAATTGCAATTTTTAGGCTGACTAACAAAATTATTGTTCCCTCAGTACATGAAGACAAAACACTCCTTCTCGATATTTTTTTCATAACGTTTACATGAATAATTATATTTGAGTATTTAATATACATTCATGCATGTGATTTATAATATTTTTAATAAAATATAATATCGAGATTTATAACAATTGTATTTTTTTATAAAGTAATTATATTTACATTAAAGGAATTATTCTATAATGTATGTATGTATGTGTATGTAGATATCTATAAAATATCTAGAAATTTATATTCTAAACAATGAGATTATTGATGATGATTATTATAAACAATTTTTATGCAGTTCTTTTAAAAGACAAAAACAGGATAACGAAAACGGGAGAAACATTTAAACATAGAGCACAAACATGGCAGAGATTGCAGCAAAGAAAGCCAAAATCGTGGAGAGATATAGGATGGCACACGTTGTTTGCATCCAGGCCACAATGGGACCCACCATAACCGATACAATCAATTGACCCACAAATACCATGCTGCTGATGATGGCGACGTCAGTGCCAAGGCCTCGGGCCTGTTTCAGTGGCACGGTTTCACCGTCACGTACACGGAACTGGAAAAAATGATATTATATGTTATTAGATATATAATTGTGTGTATAGAGATTTTTAAAACAAATACTTACACAATTCTTGGCATGATATTTTGCCACCAATATGTAGGGCATGGTAAATATGGTACCATATAATATGCCCGCGGAGGTACTAAAGAACAAAACACCCCATTTGGTGGGCCACAGGCCCAATATCAACATGCCCACTCCGTAGAACAATATGCCACTGATGTATACTGATTTGGTGCTGAAAAATAAATGGAAAACGTTATAAAGCATGGTACAACCAGAAAGGTAGATTAATTTCGAAAAAATACGAAAAATGCAACTCTGTAGTAGAACCTTATTGGATCAAATAGACTTTAAAAGTATCAAACAATTGGTTTTTCTTATTTTCCAATTTTATTCGCAAATTTCTTATCAATTTCTGGGTTTTTAGAAATACGTACAAAATAATGATACGAAAAGTACTAAAATGTACTAAAAATTTAATGCCTTGTACTTCACAAACTGAGTTAGAGTTCTGAAATTGGGAATGCGAACTGAGGGAGTGCAGGACAGATGTACCAAAGAGCTTTTGGAAATACTAACTTTTAGGTTACGAAACGGTCTTAAATGGTACTAAACTTCTAAAATCGTACCATTTGGTATTACGTGAAGGTATAGAACTAAAAACTTGAAATTTGGTATGAGAATCCAAGTTGGAAAAACTTGCAACAGTTTGGTATAGGGTGAACGGATGGAACTGGAATTTTGAAATTTTGTATTGGGGTCCCTGTTGGTGGTTGGTTTGTGATAATGAGGTAGTTTTGGAAATATGTACTATAAGTGCACGAAAAGTACTAATTAACACTATATTTGGTACAATTTGTTATTGGGGGAACATATAGTACATGCAGTTTGAAGTTTTGTATTAGGGACGCTATCCATATGAAGATGCTTTTGGAAGGGTGTGTTATAATTGTACAAAAAGTACTAAATAGTACTAAATTTTGTATTGTGTGAAAGAACAGAGCTAAAATCCTGAAACTAACTATTTTGCAACAACAAAATACACTGTTCTAGAATCCTGAAATTTGATATTGAGGTCCCTATTGGTTTTTGGAAATGAGACATGGAAGTGGTTTTGGAATGTTTGGAAAAAATACTTAATAGTACTATATTTTGTATTGGTTAAAAGGTTGGGGTTGAAATCCTCAAATTTTATGTTGAGGTCTCTATTGGTATCTGTGGTTCAGATATAGAGGTGGTCTTAGGAATGTGTTTTATAATTATACGAAAAGTACTAAATAGTACTAAATTGAGTATTGGGTGAAGAGATAGAGATAAAATTTGAAAGTTGATATTTGGTTTACTGCTGGTATCTGTGTTTGAGATTTGGTTGTGGTTTAGAAATGCGTCCAATATTTCTATGAAAAATACTAAATGGTACTTAATTTGGTCTTTGTTGAAGGAATAGGACTGGAATCCTCGAATGAAAATTTAGGTGTCTGTTAATATCTGCAATTGAACATGGAGGTGGCTTTGGAAATATGTACCATAGTTACACGAAAAGTACGAAATAGTACTGAACTTGGTATTGGGTGAAGCAATAGAGCTGAAATCTTGAAATATGATATGGATGACATTGCTGGTCTCTGTGGTTAAGATATGGAGATTGTTTATAAAATTCGTACTATATATGAAGGAAATGTACTACGTGGTACTAAATTGGTTATTGAATGAAGGAATAAGGCTGTAATTCTCAAATTTGATATTGAGATCTCAGTTGGTATCTGGAATATGGAGATGGTTTTGAAAATGTGTAGTGAGTGAAGGAATAGTGCTGAAACCGTGAAATTTGGTTTTGGTGTCTGTGGTTAAGATGTGGAGGTGGTCCTAGAAATGTGAACTATAATTGTACGAAAAGTATTAAATAGTGCATAATTTGGTATTGGATGAAGGTATACGGCTGGAATCCTCCAATTTGAATTGGTATCTTGAATTGTGATATGGAGGTGGCTTAGGAAGTTGTACGATAAGTACAAAATTTGGATGAGGGCTGGAGCTGAAATTCTGAAATTTAATATTGAGTTCTTTTTCGTATTTACAATTGAGATATGTAGGTGTGTATTGTACGATTGTACGAAAAATACTAAATAGTACCAAATTTTGTATTGGGTTAAAAAACATGGCTGGAATCCCTAATTTTGATCGGAAGTTCGTTGTTTTTTCTGGGATAGATATTTGGAGGTGGTTTTGGAAATGTGTACTATAGTTTAAAGAAAACTACTAAATAGTACTAAATTTGGTATTGAATAAAGGAATATAGCTCAAAACCTGAAGTTTTATATAAATGTCACTCTGGTAAAGATATGGAGGTGGTTTTAGAAATACGTTCTATATTCTCCATTTGGTATTGGTGAAGTGATAGGGCTGGAATTAATTTATTAATTTTTATATTCAGGTCTCTGTTAATATCTGGAATTGAGACTTGGAGGTGTTATTGAAAGTGTACGAAAGGTACTAAAAGTTACTAATTTTGGATCACTGTTGGGGTTTGGGATAGAGAGATGTTGATTATTTCGGGTATGCGTACTAAATGTTACAAAATTTGGTATTGGGTGAAATTCTAAATTTTGATATTTAGGACACTGTTGGTTTCTAGGGTTTACATATGGGGACGTTGAAATAGTGTACCTCCTCGGTAAACTTCAAATTGAAATATTTTGAAGTCTTTTTGTTAAGAGTAAAAATTATTCTATTATTCTTTCCGAAAAAGTAAAAAAAAATTAAATAATATATGAAACTATGAAAGTCTGAAAATTTAGTACGATGTATGAAGTTTTGATTAAAAAACTTTGTCAAACTGAACAAATTGTGAATTTGGAGAACTGAAAGGCCTAACACGATTTGTTGAAATGAATGAAAACGGTGGATTTTTGGCTGACGAAGTAGCGGCCACTTCTTCTTCTTTATTCGCAGACCTTAGCAATTTTCATTCTCACACCCATTAAGAAATTCTGATTTTTCATTTGCTATAATTTGAAATTGCATTTAACACTTACCCAAACCATTTCATGAGTTTTTCCACAGTCATGGAATAAACGGAACAGGATAAGGCATAAATGGACATACCCCAGCAACCAAAACGAACACCTGCTTCATATAAAGCTGCCTCCTCAGAATCTGGGGCGGCCTAAAGAATTAAAAAAAAACATTATATCCATTGGGAAAAAATTTATTTCAGATCAAACTTACCATAGGATCGCCATGAAACACAGCCTCTCCCACAAAGTCCGTAAAGTACAGACAATAGGTGAGATGACACATCCAACAGAGCAAATTGGTAAGGGCTAAAATTCTCATTGACTTGGGCATAACGAAAATGCTTTTCAAATATTTTTTCAGTGACACCGGTTTGTCATCATCATCGATTTCGTTGATATCAATGGCCTTGGAAGCGAGTTTCGGGGGTTGTTGCGGCTGGCCATTGCTGGCATGGCCATTGGAAACGTTGGCAATGACACTACCATTAGATGTCTCGCTGACACCTTGATAACGATCGATAACGGTGTATTTTTCCGCGGCAGCTGCTGCAGCGGTTTGGGCATCCATGGTGGAGTTCTGCAAAAGGGAATGGAGAATTTCAACTTAGGTATTAAACATTAGGGTTACCACCCGAAGCCTAAAAACTGGGGTGGACCCAAGTTTAGAACTGGTTCCTTAATTATAAGGTTTTCCACATTTTGTTTTAATTTTATTTCAGAAATTTAAAAATTTGATCCCAAGGATCCTCGCTCCACAAAAACACTGTCAAAATGGAATTCTTTTCTTGACCACCTCCACTTACCTCCTGAATATAGAAAACATTGGTGTTATTCTTTTGCAATTCCTTTTTAATGGCCTTGGCCGACAGAGGTCTCAACATATCATCCTGTTCGATTAATTTCAACGGCACCTCCCGGAATGTGGTCACAGTTAATAGATAACAAAAGAAGAAGATAATGGTGACCAAGGCAAAAACGGTTGGTATGTTGCCACCAAGGAAGGAACCTGAAAATTCAAACTCAACATAATTATATGGACCGATGGGGGACTTAAAAATGTCATATTCACCAATATTTGTACTTTCCCAATCAACACCGCCAATGGCATAACCAATGGTACCACCTACCCCAGCAAAGAGTGTGAACATAGTCAAGGCCTTTGGCTGATCCTCTGGTATGCACATGTCCAGCAAATAGGTTCTGGCCGGTGTCTGACATGTATCGGCATCAAAGTCCAGCAGTACCATACCCAGAATCGTCAAAATTGCAGCAAATTTAAATTTCGATGCCGAAAAGCCCCCATCCTCCGAATCCATTGACATTTGTGCTGCCACACTGCCCTCGTGAATGGTATAATTCGAATTCAGTGGCAACGTCACATTTCCATTTGTATAACCTTCATCGCCCAGCAGCAGACCCAAATCTTTGCCATATGGTACCAATATCAAACCTATTAGAATACCCACCGACAGCAGGGTAATTATGGGTCTACGACGTCCAAAACTCAAATGACAGCGATCACTAACCGAACCCAAAAACGGCGACACAAAGAATCCAATCAACGGCGACAGACCCCAGGCCATGGTCATGTGTTTGTGATCGATGCCAATCTGCAAGAGAATCGGTGAAACGAACGATGTCTCAGCGGCATAGGCAAATTCAATACCCATAGCTATGGCCGACAGTCGGAACATCTCGAAACGTGTCTTTCGCCGGAACACATGCGAGTAGTCGTGTTTTTGTGCCTTGGCATGATTTTCACGCTGCTTCAGCATGTATTTGATCATGACATTATTTGTTGATGACAGCTCATCGGAGCTGGAGTCAACATTTACTCCCACCATTTTGTTCTGTTTTCTGGCTTTACTCTAGAGCTTTGGTGGATGATAAACTGCTGAGATCTGTAATGAGAAAATAAATAATAATTATTAATAAAAAATGTAAATTAAGGACTCAAAATTAATTTTATCATGTGATTCAGTTTCGTGTTCAATGAAAAATAATGAAAACTTAAATAAATAAATTTCAGAACATTTTCGAAACAGATCAGTTTGTCTTACTGAGAGCTATCCGTAATATTTTATTTTACAGTCTATAGTTCCTATTCAACGATTCGCGTTACTAAAATTTTTAGATTTATATATTTTGAAAATTATATTACCAAATTTTCTTTTTTCCCAAATTTATAATAAAATTTTAAAATATGGTTACGATATTAAAAACTTTTTTATTTCAGAGGGAACGATTTTAAAAATTCAAAAGTTTACATAAGGCTAGATTACACATTGTGTTAGAGTCATATGTAAAGCGGCTTTTTCCACATATTATTGCATACTTTTAGGTGTCACTCATAATATTTTATATATAATGTTGAAGAGGAAGAGGATGTAAGTAAAACCATTGCACATTGGACCCACATCCACATTTAGTATTTTTCGTACAATTATACTACACATTTCCAAAACCACCTTCATATTTAAATTGTAGTTACCAACAGTGATATATGTATCAAATTTCAGGATTTAAGTTCTATACATCCACTCAACACCAAATTTAGTAACATTTAGTACTTGTCCTATTATTTGTGTGCTCATTTACAAAATTGTTCCATATCTCAATCATAGACACGAAAAATTCTTCCCTTTACCCAATACCAAAATTTAGTACAATTTAGTATTTTTCGTAATGTACAAAGTGTTCTATCATTTCCAGAACCACCTCCATATCTCAATCCCAGAAAACAACAGAGAACTCTATATCAAAATTCGGAATTTCAGCTCTATCTATACACCCAATACCAAATTTCATACCTTTCAAACAATTGTAGTACGTATTTCCTAAGTAAAACCTTCATATCTCAATTCCAGATACAAAAAGAAACCTCAATATCAAATTTCCGGATTCCTTCAGCTAATACCCAATTTAGCACCACTTGGTACTTTTCGAACAATTATATCAATATAGTACACAATATATGTAGTACACATTTCTAAACTACCACCATATCTTAACCCCAGACACCAACAGTGCCATCTATGTTAAATTTGAGTATTCCAGGTCTATCCATTTACCCAAATACAAAATATAGTACCATTTAGTACGTTTCGTACAATTATAGTACACTTTTCAAAAATTATAGTACATATTTCCAAAACCACCTACATATATCATTTTCAGTTACCAACAGAGAGCTTGATATCAAATTTGAGGATTCCAGCCCTACTCTTTCGCAAATACTAAATTTAGTACCATTTAGTACTTTTCGCACAATAGGACGCATTTCCAAACCGCTGGAAAATCAATAACACAGACACCATTAATAATGCAAATTTGAGGATTCCAGCCTTATCAGTTTACACATCAGTTTACACTATATCAAATTTAGTACCATTTAGTACTTTTTGTACAAATGTAGAAAGCATTTTAAAACAACAGTCAAATCTTAATCCCAGAAACTAACACAGTCCTCAATATTAAATTTCGGGATTTCAGCTCTATTCTTTAACCAATTCAATCTCTAATCCTTCAACCAATACCAAATTTTGGACTATCTAGTACTTTTCGTATAATTCTAGTACACATTTTCCAATTCCAGATAGCAACAGAGACCTTAATATCAAATTTGAGGATTGCAGCTCTATCCCTTCAACAAATACCAAAATTTAATATCATTTCTTACTTTTTGCACAAATATATAATACATTTTCAAACCACCGTCAAATCTCAAATACCTTTACCATCAGTAATCTAAATACCAATTATCAGGATTCCAGCTCTATTGCCATACATTAAATATAGTATCATTTAGTATTTTTTCGTATTAATAGAGGGTGAGATGAAAAAACTGAAACAAAGTCAAATGCCATAATTTTTACATTAACTTTGTCATTCCGTTTGTAACTCCTCGAAACACTCATGTCAGACCCAACAAAGTATATATATTCTTGATCAGCGTAAAATTCTAAGTCGATTTAGCGATGTCCGTCTGTCTCTCTGTTGTAATCACGCTATCCTTCGAATAAATTGAGATAGATGTCTAAAATTTTGCAAACATGTTTATTTTTCCAGTAGGCAGGTTATGTTCGTAAATGGGCCATGTAGGTCAACGTTTTCATATAGCCCACATATAATGGTACCTCCCGATATTCGGTATTTTGTTGATTTTAGCGACATTATTCACCGGAATTGTTTCAAATTTGGTATTTGAAGTTCGAAATGGATACTACACCCAAGACAGAAAATTTTCTGTGCTAGCCCACTTCTTCGTATAGCCCCCATATAACGGTACCTCCCGATATTCGGTATTTTGATGATTTTAGCTACATTATTCACCGTTTAAAATTTGGTATTTGAAGTTCGAAATGGATACTACACCCTAAGAAAGAAAATTGTTTGTGCAGGTCCACGTCTTCGTATAGCCCCCATATAACAGTACCTCCCAATATTCGGTATTTTGATGATTTTAGCGTCATTATTCACCAGAATTGTTTCAAATTACGTATTTAGAGTTCGTTATGGAAACTACAGTTTGTGCCAGAAAACTATCTATGCAGGTCCAGGTCTTCGTATAGGCCCCATATATCAGTACCTTCCTATATGGGTATTTTGACGATTTTAGGTACAATACGCACCGAAATTGTTTGAGATGTGGTATTTGAAGTTCGTAATGGATGCTACAGCCAATATAACGGTACCTCCCTATATACGATATTTTGATGATTTTAGCTACAGTTTATTTCAAGTTTCGAATTTGAATATGGTAATGCCTTATGACAAACAATGCCTATGTAGGTCCACGTCGTATAGACCCCAATTTTTAAAATTTTAACAGAATTGTTTTAGGATTTTATTTTTTGAAAATTTTCAAATTCTTTCCATATGGTGGAGGGTATTCAAAGTTCGGCCCGGCCGAACTTACTGCTTTTTAACTTGTTTTAATTGATATGGGTTCTAACATGGTATATAGGTCCTCGATTTGGTGTTTTGATGATTTTTGCCACTTTTTCCACGGATTTGTCTAAAAATTGGTATTTGTTGGTAACAATGTGTTCTAACTCCGGGGACGTAACATTGTACGAATAGGTCCATGTTTTAGTATAGCCCTCATATAACGGTACCTCCCAATATTCGATATTTTTACGATTTTTGCCACACTTTTCCATGGATTTGTCTCCGGTGGCGAACTTGGTTTATATAGATCCACGTTTTGCTATAGCCCTCATCCCGATAGTCGGTGTTTTGATGATCTTTGCCATATTTTTCACGGATTTGTCCAAGAATTGGTATTTGAAGTTCATAATGGGTTCTAACTCAGGCGGCAGGACATTGAAAATTTGCGTCCACGTTTTTCTATAGCGCACATATAACGATGCCCACCGATATTTGGTATTTTGATAATCTTAGTCACATTTACCCACGAAATTGTTTCAAATTTGGTATTTAAGAAGATTTGGTGGATGACAATCCTTGAAGTATAAAATTGTCTATGGAGGTTCCCGTTTTGGTACTTTATGTTTTTTTTTTTGAAAAGTTTAACAGCATTATCCAAACGGTCTTACTGGTATTTGTAGTGTAAAGTAGAACACGTTTGAATTCAGGTACTTTTAGGTAAAATGTTTTTTCTTACCCAAAGCTGGAGTGTTTTAAGAGTTCGGCCAGGCTGAACTTAATGTTTTTTACAAATTATATTTACGGTAATTTTTTAAGAAGTGTACTTGGAAATTACTTGGATTTGATTATTGGTAGGGTTACTAACTGCCTTTTACTACAAAACCGAACAAAATTTTTGAGCTCATTAAAATTTATAAGCTGGAATATTACTCATCACTTTTTCACTACAATTTAGGTTTCATGTAACACCTCAAATTTTTCCCTTAGAGATAGCAAAAAGATATCGAAATTCGACGAAAGCAAACAATTGGCTGCTAGTTTTATTTGTTAATGACTTTGCACTGAACCGTGGTGATCAAAGTAATTTTCCCAGCCAAAAAAAAACCAACAAAATTCCTTTCGTGTTTGGGGCCCATTTTTGGCAGATGATGGAAAACTTCTGTTGTTTCATTCATGAGGTAGGTTGGGAAACGATTTGTTTTATTTTCACAGGTTTTGTTTTTTACAATTTTTTATTATTTGTTTTTAAATAAAAATTGTTTGATATTGTTTAATTGTCTGTGGTTTGTTTTAATTTGGTAGCGGCTTTTATAATTTATATTTGTATAATTTTGTATTTTTCTGTGTTTTTTTTTTCAAATCTCGTTTTGAATGGGGAAGTTCAGCTTTAAAAGCAATAGCAAATATTTAATTAATTTATTTTGTTTAATGATATTTTAATTTATGTGCATTTTGATAGTTTGCGATCGTCGTGCTTTTCGTAGCCCCACAAGCACCGCCGTCGGCTCCACCACCACCACCACGACAAACAATTAAATTTTGTATTTTTTTTTTTTTTTTTTTTCAATGGAAAACACATTTCGTCGTCGATATATGATTTATTATTAGTTAATTGAAGGTGGACAACAGTTTTATAATAGTTGTTTGATAATATAGGCTAATTACCGTTTAAGTACTTAATTAAAATTTAAATTGTTCACGAATTTTGCGATTTGTCTTTAAATTTCACCGCTTTCGAATAAAAATTACAAAACAATGGGAATATTTATGAAATATTGGAGATTTTAATCGAAACTTTTGTTTGCAGACAAAAAGTCCCTTGAATATGGAAAATTCTAATGGAATTGTTTTCAATATTTGAAATATTCAAAGGGAATGTTGTAATTAATTCCGGAAATCGGCAAATTGGTAGATATCACGAAAACTTCATTAAAATTTAATTAAAAATTATTAAGATAAAAAAACTGCAACAAAGTCAAACGCCATAATTTTTACATTATTTTTTTAAATT